TTAAGTGAGAAAGCCAAATTGTACCCTTGTATTATGTATTGTTAATATTAAATCTAATTTTAATGAAATAAGCATATGTATCCAATCTCAATCAGCTTTGACCACTCAAGGTAAGATTTCTAAACACCTTTTATAACCTCGTACAATTTTTCTGGTTTTTTTCTTTCTATACCCACTTAGTTTATCTATTTCATTTTTTTTTTTTGCTTTCAACCTTTAAATATCTCTAAACTAGCCAAAGTTACCTTTTTTAAACCAAAAACCACATCTTCATGTCTTTTTTTGTAACTTTTTGTGCCAAAAAACACATATTTTTGTCACATAAATGAGAAATGGACAATTTAAGTTTCTTAGTTTCTTTTCTTTCTTTCTTGTCTCACTTTGTTGCCTGGACTAGTGTGCAGTGGCATCATCAGAGCTCACTGCAATTTCAAACTCCCTGGCTCAAGCGATCTTGCTGCCTCATCCTCCTGAGTAGATGGGACTGTAAATGTGAGCCACTATGCCCAGATAATTTTTTTATTTTTTGTAGAGATTGGATCTCACTGTGTTGCCCAGGCTGGTCTTGGACTCCTGGCCTGAAGTGACCCTCCAGCCTCAGCCTCCAAAAGTTCTGGGATTGCAGGCATGAGCCTCAATACTGGTTCACATCTTATTTTCTTCATACACTCTGTATGTAGAATTGTTTTTCTTCTTTTCTCCAGTTTTAGTTACCATATGTTAGTCAGAATTTTAAATCTTAGTAACTTTAATTCATAGTGAAAAACGAAGGGACATTTAACTGTGAGTCACATACTAACAATTTATGAATATGAAATTTACAATTTTTAGAAACATAGGGTTCACAATGGAATAATTTTTCAGTGTGAAACAGGACATATTTACTAATAGATCTAAATATCTTTTTTCTTTGACATAAAAAGCTAAAAGTACATAAGCTTAAATTCCTATTTAGTAATTAATGTCTTAGCAGTATATGTTATTTGGAAATGATCTATATAGTCAATGAATTTCCATCATTTAACTTAGCAGAATTCTAAGAGTTACAGAAATATTTGTGATACCTTTTTAAGTAAAAATATCATGAAACAATTATTATATATTTACTTATAAACTTTTATCCCATTTGTGTCTGTTTTACTTATTCATTCTTAATTATGTTTGTAAAATCTCATGAAACATTAGACAAATCCAGCCATCACCTCAGAGTTGAACTTTTTATTAACCATTTTTATATTCCTATATGTTAGGCAGGTTATCATAAAAACAATAACCTTAAAGTAAAATACATGCATATTTTGTTAAGACAGAAGGCATAGTTGTTTTTATTAAACTGACAATATTAACTAGTCATATTTACCAAAATATCTACTCAAGTCACATGAACTTAAAAAATATCTGGGCTTATTTATTTAATTCATGAGCTCTAATTTACCTTTAAGTTAATTTGGTACCGTGTTGACAAGATACAAACACATGTATGGATGTATACATACATGCAGACACAGTGTATAACTTACACATGTACACATTCAAAAAGCATCTAAAAGCCAAAGAGAATGCAGAGTTAAACATAAAAGAAAGAACTTTAGACCAGAGAGAAACCTGTGTACCCACAAGTCTTCGGGTTCCATGAGAAAAAAATGGGTATCCTGCCCGAAAAGGAGAAGTCTGTGATACCTTTTCTGTGTTCCTCAAGCAGTCCCCAGGCTGTTACTTATAGAAGTTGCCTTGAGGTCCCTTCACATGGTGTCGAAGGTGGCAAGGAGGAGGACAAACAGAAGTAAATGAAAGAGTAAGTCCTAGAGGAACTACTTCTTTGAAAAGATTTTGTTTTCCACAAGGCCAATAATGTGTTACATTATGTTGGCAAAAATTACATCAAAAAGAGGAGATCATGCCTGTAATCCCAGCACCCTAGGAGGCCAAGGCGGGAGGATCGTTTGAGACCAGCTTGAGCAAGAGCGAGACCCCGTCTCTACTAAAAATAGAAAGAAATTAGCTGGACAACTAAAAATATACATAGAAAATGTCCAGGCATGGTGGCTCATGCCTGTAGTCCCAGCTACCCAGGAGGCTGAGGCAGGAGGATTGCTTGAGCCCAGGAGTTTGAGGTTGCTTTGAGCTAGGCTGACACCACAGCACTCTAGCCAACATGGGCAACAGAGTGAAAAAAAAAAAAGAAAAGAAAGAAAGAAAACAAAAACTATCCATGGGGGTTAGAAAAGGTTACAAATGGGTATTCCAAAAGGTCAGATCATACAAATAATTTAAAACAAACACATCAAATTCTCATAAATGTTTTTTGCCTAAGCTAGAGGTGTCCACTGAGAAAAGAATAAGTTTGTGGTAAGTCTAAAGAACTTTTCTTGGAAATTCAATCTCAGCTGGGATGCTGTTTAGCTAATTCATCTCCAAGGGACTGACAAGGGTGTGGGAGAGGTTATTGTGTCCTTTG